CCTACAGAATTAGGATCACGTTTTCCGAAGGTGTAGGGAGGAAGTTTTTAAAGCACACGCAAATTAAACATGCACAGCGAGGCAGCGGCAGGAACCGCTGTTTGCTTCACCACACTGACATATGTGACCACAGAGACACTCGCAAGAGCAAATTTCACATTCGAAAACAGGTAATCACTTTCTGCCAATTTTGATGGAATTACCTTCACACAATGGCCATTCAAGAGCCAAAAATCACCACGAAATTAAGCATCTTGAAGGAGAAATGGTTATGGGGGATACATTTGGACTCAACATATACCAAGTACGTCAGTTAAGCGTGACAAACACAGGCTGGCAAAAACCAAACCAAAACTTTTCCAGTTCACACTACGCCACTCTAATCTCTACAAGCTCACACTTCAATCTTAAGCTCTAAATTCCGTAATCAACTGTAAAAAAACTGCTGAAAGTACCTACATTTGGTCTTGTGGACAAAAAGCTGAACAAAGGAAAGATGGGAAGAGATAAGTAAGCGTGTGGGTTTAACCCGTTCCTGCTCGAAGCAGGAGGTGGAACAGTCAAAGTCTCAGTGAAAAAGATTTACACTGAGATGCAAACACAAGGTGATGTCACTATAGCTTATCTGATGTGCAATGATTTGTTGGTGTGTTTGCCAGCTTGCTAATAAATCCCACAGTACTCATTATATACTTCACTTCCTCCCACTTCTGAAAAAAACCCAGTTCCTTTCAACAACAAACAAAAAACCCCCAAGTGCTTGTTGGCAAAAAAACATGCTGCTTTTCTGCAGGTAAATTAGAGAGGGCAAATGCAAAAGACTCCAACTAACAACATGGTTTTATGACACACAGGTAGTTACATTCATAAAAGTTGGGTTACAGACATGGTGGAAGCAGACAAGCACCTCATCACATGCAACAAGACTGAGCACATGTATCTCTTGACATCTTTACCATTTCCCTTTTGCGACTATAACCTTCCTCTGTTAAGTACCGTGTTCAATAGAAATCTGGCAATTTAAAAATCTTTTCTCATTACGCAAGGTAAACTCACTTAAGAACGATGGTCTTTCATCTGGGTTTTGTGCCCATCCACTTCCTATCAATCTTACGATGAGCACTCGGTGAGGAATGTCCATTGATAAACTTTCTTCACTTAAGTCTAGCCGCTGTCCTTGTGACACACTATACATTATCTGCAAGGGGTTTATAACTTCTGTCAAAATAGACATCGTGCATTCATTAGAAATATATGCAATATAAATAGCTTACTATAGGAGGAATAAATTAGTTTGCAGACATAGTATTTATAATTCACCAAAATAAGGTTATGGTTTTTTTTTAAAAAACCTATTTTTAATTTATCAAATAACACTGTAATTTAAAAAAACAATATAGAAAAAGAGTCTAATTTGAAAAGTAACTCAAAGTGCTGCTGAACAAGCTTACAAGTTGAATCATTAATAAGTAACCCCTAAAATGAAATCCCCATGTACCCAGGTCTCAGGTTTTCAGGTTTAGCCTTTAAGTAAAGCTGGGAAAATTAATTAAAGGAAGACATGGCCTTACCTTCAAATGGCTGTTTCCTTGACATCACTTCCCACATAATAATTGCATAACTGTTTAAAGTATAAAAAGTACAGAAGACGTTATTTTAGATTACCAACACTTAATAACACAATGTGCTCAGCTTTACATTTTAAGAACATTTTGCTAAAACGATCCTGCATGCACACACGGGACTGACTATAGCAAACTACAATGATGACCTGAATATATAAAAACTAGCAGGAATTTTAACAAGTGACTTCAACTAGAATTAGCTAATAATATTAAGTACGGAGAAGGTACATGGCATATAAACTCCTGTTCCAAATCTGTATTAGCTCCGCTCTACTAGTATGTTGTGAATTAAATACATGTGGTTTAAATCTCAGTATGTAAATTAAAGTGAGCCCCAGAGTCCTAACTGTAATACTGTGGCATCTCCCTAGTCCAGATCAAGACTCTCTGACATTTCCCCGGGAAGCAGGGTACTAGCAGGGAGGATGGCATTCACCCACACCTCTATCCCAAAGCAAAGTCAGAGTCAGGTAAGATACGGACCTGCATTTGGGAAGCACACTCCAGCTTCTTCCCCAGACATACATACTTTCAACATATGCAATCTTCTCTATAGGGACAGATGTCACTTTTACATGCAAGATTCACAGATGTCATGCAAGATTCACAGATGTCACTTTTACATGCAAGATGCAAAGAGACTCTCAGATGACCACCCTGAACCATAGCCAGCAAACTGAACACTCAAACCAGTGAAATTTTTTTCCATTCACATCAACATGAATGGGAAGTGTCTCAATGAATACAAATCTGCTTCACCTTTAGTAGACTAGTCACTCTCTTCAATCATCAGGATATATTAAAAAAACAAAAACCCCCAACTTTAAACAAGTTTGTAATTTAAATTGGAATAGATTATTTCATTTAAATGAAGCATTGACTTCATTTATAAACAATAATCAATGCAGTTGAAGAAAATAAAACAAAAACCAAAACAAAATAAACAAAAATAAAATAAAATAAAACAAAATAAAATAATGTAAAAACCCCAAATTTGGTTTTCCTACATAAGAATAGGAATTTGGTATGAGGAATAAATGTAGTAGTTCTAAAGCTAAAATAAGAGACCAAAAATATTTCACTGCTTAAGAACTTAATTTCCAATGTTAAATGTATTTTTGTAAACTTACCTCTACTCTTTTATTTTTTCAGTAAATCAATTTAAAAATGTATTGAAAAGTTTTTAAATTGTTACTTCAAAAAAATTGAAACCCAATTTCCACTGAAGCAATAAAAATGAAACTATGCAAAGAATTACTTTTTTTCTAAAGAAGAATTACACTTACTAGAATAAATGTTTGCTCAACTACTCAAATAACTGTACACAAAGATAGTGTTTTCCTACATCACTAAGTAGTAATGAATTTTGCATACAGGTTACATTTAACTGCCTCTTAGCATCATATCATCTAACAGCTACCAATTAGGAAGAATCAAAAAAATTAAGTAAGAACGAAATAACTGATGCTTAAAATCAATCATATAAATGGAGGTTTTCTAATAGTTATTCTGTTCACATTTTAACATTCATCAATGATAAAATTTATTCAAGCAACTTTTAATAAAAGCAGCCCTCCCTGTTAGAAAGCCTGCTTTTGATGCACTCCTGAGAAATTCATGCAGGCTGATTTTTTTTGGCATGGCAAATTGTTCCTTTTGTAAAAGAATGCTCCTTGGCTGTTGTTTAAACACTCTGTTTCTTTAAGAAAGATCCTTCCTCACAAATTAGCTTCAATATCTCAACAACATTCAGCTGTATCTGCTGTGGTCAATTAATCAGACATCCAGCCTTTCATTCAGTCTGGAATCTCTCTACAATTAAAGATTATTTTCCCAATTCTACAACACTGCAGCA